AGGGAAGATGAGAGCTCTGCTGTGCTTGGGTGGGTACGTGTACCTGTTCTCAGCAGAAGGACAAGGCAAAATGTGGTTCACTGCTGCTTTGGGCCTGAGCCAGGACGTCCCTGCTGTCTGCTGCAGTGCTGATGCTGGGCGAGGAGCGAGGTGGAGAACAGCATCCTAATTTCCCCGAGGGGTGCCGGGTTCTGGGAAGCACAGAGCACCCCAGGGGAGCTGGGGAATCAGGCTGAGGACAGCTTTCTGCTGAATCACTCAGAGCAAAATGCCCCATCTGCATATTCGTGACCCAGAAATAAACTGGAGAGAGCAGCCTCCCTGGGCTCTGCCTGGCAGGGAGCCGGCAGAAGGGGCAGAGCTGCTGGCTTGGTCTCTAGTGGCACTGTAATGGGATGGATGCTACTTTTAACTCTGCTTGTTGACCATGGAGTGCCTGCACGTACCCCGGCTGCCCTGTGACTGACCTCCTTTCCCCAAAAGAAGGGCATGGGCATCCTAATCTTGAATTAAAAAAAAAAAAAGGTAAGAAAAAAAGGCAGGTTTGTGTTTGTAGAAGACTGTCTCAGCTCAGTCCTTGGTATCCTGTCAGCAGGCTGAGAATTGACCCCCGTGTCAAGCCTCAAGTATGCCCTGTCCTCTAGGAAGCTTTCACTCCCGCCTGCCCTGCGCAGACCGGGATGTCACCCTGGGCTGAGGCAGCGGGTTTGGTCACTCTGGAGAAGAGGAGTGGGAGGGGGATCAAATCGCAGCTTCCACTGCCCACAGGGGTTACAGGGACCCTGGGGCCGGGCTCTTCTGGACGAGCGCAGGGAAAGGGCAAGAGGCCACAGACACAGGCTGCAGCAAGGGAACTTCCAGCTAATCAAAGAAGACAAATTTCCGCCCATCAGAGTTGTTCAGCTTTGCACAGTATCCAGGTCTCCATCCCTGGAGATCTTCAAAACTCAGCTGGGCAAGGCCCAGAGCAACCCGAGCTGGCTTTGCAGTCTGCCCTGCTGGGACAGGAGGTAGGACAGGAGCCCAATGGCTTCCTCGATGTTGTGGATCACTCTCCACCCTGGTTGCTGGGATCTGTAGGGACCTTGCACCCAGCTTACACCATCATCCGAAGCATCTGAGCCTCAAACGCTTAATGTATCACCCGCAAGTAGCATGTGTGTTGAGTTACTGTAGGGATGAAAAGTACCAGCCTGGACAGGCCCATACTGTACGTAGAATGGCCCGTGCTACGTGGGAACAACCTGGGGGACGTCCTCAGAGCAGACACAGGGCTCTGCTGGGGTTCCCCAAGACTTTCCACAGCAGAGCATGCGATGAGTAACGAGACCATCCTGAGAACAGGAGTGTGAGTGGCTGATGGAGCAAGGGAGAGGAGGCCAGGAGGTAGTCCTGGGGTGCGATTGCTTCTCCTGAGGAGTCCCAGGCTCTTGCTGGGTTCTGCGGGAGGACAAGGCAGGGCATGCGAGATCCACATAAGCCTCTCTGCTCCACAGGTTGGGGAGGGTGGAGCTGCACGGATGATACCAAGGCCCAGTCTGTCGGTGTACAGAACCTGGCCACCCTCCTGCTCACCCTGAGCAACCTTATGTTCCTGCCGGCGATAGCGGTTGCTGTTTATCGCTACTACCTGGTGGAGGCCTCCGTCTACACCTACACCATGTTCTTCTCCACGGTAGGGATTGCCTTTTGTCAGGTCCCCTGTCAGCTCCCCCTGAGCATCAGGGATGCTGCATTGGACTGAAGTCCTTGTGGAGCAGTCCATCCTGGAGCTCCACAAGGAGCTTCTAGGATCATTGGACAAGCACCTCCATGGACATGTCCTGCCCCTTCAGAGCTTGGCAGGAGTGTTGTTATCACTGGGCTCTTCCACCCACGCTGCGGGTGCTCGTATTTGGGGGTGGGACCCCAGGGAGCTGTGATGGGGTTGGAGCATTGCGCACTTGAAAGGTGCTGTCCCAGAAGCCCTTGGCTGCTGCTGGGAGGGTGCAGGTTGATGGCTGCTCTCATCTGCTTTCCGTAATGCCACGGTGGTTTGGTGGAGCTTCCTGGAGGCACTGCCAGGAGGGATCGTGGCTACCACAGCCTTCTCCTGTCTCTCCTTCTCCGGAAGCTGTGTGCTGCTGCTGGATTCATGCTACCCTTTGCCTTTGTCCCCGGCTCTAGTTCTACCACGCGTGTGACCAGCCAGGCGTCGCGGTGATGTGCATCATGGACTACGACACACTACAGTACTGTGACTTTTTGGGCTCTGTGGTGTCCATCTGGGTGACGATCCTGTGCATGTCCCGGGTGAAGAAGATCCTGAAATACGTGAGTGTCAGGTAACCCTGCGCGGCAGGGCCAGACCTGAGTCAGCCAAGCTGCGGGTGGCCATGCTGAGCCCTCTCATGGCTGTGTTTTAATAACACAGCCCAGCCTGGTGACAAAGCCTGTTTGTCACCCAATGCCACCCTTATTTTTAAACCAGTGGGTTGTTTTGTCCCAGAAGTTTGGGTCGTGAACCTGCATGCTTGTAGGGACTGGGCCTGAAGGGACTGAGGTTTGTGGGAAAGGTTTGTGGGTCCTCTGGTTTCTCCTTCTGAAGGTGCAGCTCCTGAGTCCTGCATACATGCAGGGCTGGGTGGCCAGGAGGTGAGGTTCTGCCTGCCTCTGGCATGGCTGGCTGCGCTCTGGCAGCAGATGAGCTGCTGACAACAGTGGTGGTGTCTCATTCCCAGGTCCTTTTCATCTTGGGGACCCTGTTAATTGCCATGTCCCTGCAGCTGGACCGCAGAGGGGTGTGGAACATGATGGGTCCCTGCCTCTTTGCCCTTGTCATCATGATTGCAGCGTGGGTAAGTACGGGCAGTCAGGCAGGACCTGCTGCCCTTAGCTCCCCTCTGAAGAATGATGGTGGCAGAGCAGACCCCAGGCTCCAGCCCATCCACAAGGAGGGCTTGATCTTGCAATGCCCAGGAGGAGAAGGGGCAGGGCAAGGGATTCACCGTCCATCCTTCCAGTAGCTGAGAAATCCCCCGGTTACGGATCTCGGCACAGTCCAGCCGCTGCGGCTCCAGTTGAGCGCACGCCTGCGGCTGCAGCGTTGTCCCAGAGCAGTCGGCTGTTGCCCATGCGCTGGGCAGGAGCTATGGCATCTGTGCTGGGCTTCGGTGCCACAGCTGGATAGGGACTCCTGCACACAAGAGATGGGCCCAAGAAGGGGGGAGGCTGAATTTCTCAGGGGCAGCAGGCACACCCTCTTGCTGCGAGGCTGGCAGTTGCTCCTGGGTCAGGCAGCGCTGCCTGTTTCCCCCTGCCTAAGCTTCTGGTTGGCTGCTTAACCCTTCTGTGCTCTCACACCTCCAGATTTACCACGGAGTGAAGCGCAGACACTGCTACCCCTCCTCATGGAAACGCTGGGTTTTCTACCTCCTCCCAGGGATCACCTTGGCTTTCATCGCCATCTCCGTGTATGCGTTCATGGAAACCAATGAGAACTATTACTACACCCACAGCATCTGGCACGTGCTGGTGGCTTGCAGCGTTGCTTTCCTGCTTCCTCCTCGGGACAAGCATAAGAAGCCCTGGGCCTGGTCACAGAAGCTCACTTGTCGCTATCAGATCTGCCAGAATGACCGTGAGGAGCTCTATGCTGTGACCTGAAACTGCTCGGCTCCCGGTCGCAGAGGTGGAGGGCTGGTGAGGTTGCTCTTCACCTGTGCTGCCCCTCTCTCGCACGTCGGCAATCCTCTTACGTGCTCATTCACTGGCCGGGACAGCGCAATATGGACCAGGTTTAAAGATGAAGATGGTGGGCTTGTCTTGTGAAGGCAAGTTTGAGGCCACCTCTGTTTTTCTGCTGGGATGGGGCAGGCTCTTCGTGGTTCTAGATCAAGGAATAGCCTGTCCCCCACCTCCCCATGGCCCTGGGGGAAATCGCCAACCCTTCCTCCCCTCCTGCTGCATCCATGAGGCTTGGGCTTAGCCCACGCTGAGCTGGAGCCAGGGCTTTGGCTGCTGGGCTTTTCCCTGCAGACCCTGTCCTAGCAGAGGGCTGTGGGATGGGGATTTCCCCTGCCATCCTGCAATCAGCATTTGAACCTGAGAGAAGAACGGGTTTCTTCTGATCTGGGGGGCAAATGCTGCCGCGTGCCCTTGGTGCTGATGGGGAGGGAGGGAGCTGATCTCGGCGTGCGCTGGGCCCTTGGTCGCTGTCTCCACAGGGGTCTGGAGCCTCTCTCCCCGTGAAACAGGCGGTGCTGCTCTTACCTAGTCCTGATTCTGCGGGGGCAAGAACGAGGCTGGGACTTGGGCCCTGGATTCAGGATCAAACTTGGCAGGAATGTGAAAAAAAACCCATTTGGGGACGTGCAAAAGGCATCAGCAGCATCTCGCCCAGAGCTGTGAAACCCACGGCAGTGCAGGGTTTAGTCTAAGTTTAACTTTAGCCCTCTTAGCTCATCTGGAAAGAGCCAGGCTGCTACACTGTCCCCTTCCTCTCTCAATGTTCAGGTATTCACAGTCTTCCTCCCCTTTTGTGGGTTCGGCATGTCCGCGGCTCTGCCGGGGCAGCGTAGGTGGTCCAGGATGGCGTCCGAGCTGCGCACCCCCTGCTCCTCCAGCCCACTGTGCCTCGGAGGCTGGCTGTGCTGCAGAGTCGCGGCTGATCTGAGGCCACCGGCAGTGTCCC